AGATGTGGTAGAATATATTATTGTTCAGATTTGCTATGTGCATCCTTGGAGGAGGCTCAGTGATGTAAGACCTGCCTGTACCTCCAATGGGAAGGGTATTTGTCCCCATGCCTCACCGACTCTGAGCCTAGCTGCGGGACAGGCTTTGGCAGTCATAAGCACGCCACACCTGAAGAGAAACTCTAAGAGGCATCACAAGTTTCAGCCAGCCCCCTAGCTCTCAGTACCATGCAGACGGCAGGTCCAGACAGAGGTTGCTCCTTCAGTCTGGGTCTTAGAATGAAAACTTACGGAGCAGAACCACTCTGCATGGGCAGCTCAAAGTCTACGCTTAACGTCATGTGGGTATAAGCCACCAAGATGTGGGGTTATTTGTTTCTGCAGCAAAGCTGATGAAGACAGAAATCAAATGAAACAAAAGGAAAAGCAGGAGGAATTCTGTGATGCATAACTACTATGTTGTTAACTGAATACAGTGCGAGGTGCCTGTGGTCACAGAGAGCACAGTCAGTAAGGGATCTGCATTACTACAGCAGCGAGGGGTGCTGGTAAACAGAGGTTCTACAGAGGATGAGTCAGGTCAGTTTAGCTGCTGGAAGTGAGGTTGTGGCAAAAACAAAACTAAGGTTGCAACCTGATAAATCAGCATCTATTGTGTTAATAAGCACTTCATACACACTTCATGCAGTCCTCAACTATAACCAAAAAAGACTTGTGTTGACATCTTCATCTTCCATATAAAGAGAAAGAAACAGAGAAGTTCAGTAACTTGCCAGCATTAAACAGTTACCAACTGACAGAGTGAAAATTCAAATTCAAGACTAATTCTAAACTTCAATTTTTTCTATACCATTTTCTATACTCAAAAAACGTACAGATTATTTAGTAATTGTCCATAAAAGGAAGAACTTGTTTATACTATAAACCAATTTTATAAAACGGATATAAAAGCAAGTTGATACCATGAATTTGGTAATAAATTTAAATCCTATTAAATATATTATTCATAATGAATTTTTTATTTTATTCTCTAAAATATTCTTATTAATGTGACAACCAAGAATCTAAAACAATACATAACAATACATCTTTTATTTCTATGCAATACATTTTCTTAAATTTAGATTATAATAATTCAGAATTTTGAAGATTCAGATAAGTGATGGCCTAAATTTACCTTGTCAATATGAAAAGCTTTCCCAAGCAAACTAATCATGGATTAAAACGATCAATGATGCATTTTAGATTAAAAGAACAAACATTTCAAACATCTTATAAACCATTTAATAGCCCTTACACCACCCATATAAAAACAAGTAAGAGTTTTTTTTTATTATGTAGCATATATTCATGGTAGAAAAACTAGGTAAGACTAATACATATTCAAAAAAAGCAGAAAAGAAAACCCAGCAAAACCATCATTAAGGGATAATAATAACCATATTTTGTTACACGGCCTGCCAGACTTCTTTTCAACACCTAGACACACATTTACCTTTAAGTCAAAATACATACATTTCATTTAAATAATTATTCTTAATATGAGTTCAATAGACTTGTTGATGAATGAGTATTTCTAACTTGGAGAATTCCAAAGTGTATTCAAATACCAATCTTTCTGGCTCCCTCTGCTGGACACTAAGAGAAGCTTTTTATTATTATTACTCAATTTGGTTTGAAAGCTCAAACTCGGAGAAGCACTAATTTATAATTATTAAAAACATCTTTAAGAGCATACAAGTCGGCCAGAAAGTGTACAATGGACAATTTTTGAGTACATTCCTATTAGTCAACAGGGATCTGACATCAGAAAATCCTAGTCTGAGTTTCCAGTGAGCTCCCAGCTTGATTACTTATTTGCTACCAACCTTGATCAGATTATCTGCTCCTTTTGACTTTCAGTTTCCTTATCTGTAAAGTGAAGCTAATACCAACTACCTCATTAGTTATAAGAATTAGAATTGACAGAGTAAGGGCAAAATAAATAAGCATTACTGTTACTACTAGGGCCGCCACCACCCAGGTGCTGAGCTGTGGTTAGATAGCACAGCCATTCAAGACTTACCATACAACTATCATGTTCAAATAGATCACCTTTCAAAATGCAAACCTGCTGTACTTACACTCTGTTAACAACTTTCTTCATTAGAGCAAATGTATCGCTCTCAAGATCAAAACCCTTAACGTGACCACTGAGCCTCGTCACGGTCTGTACCCTGCTGGCCTCTGACGCGCATCTTGGACGCCTGCAGCTGGACACTCTCCCCAGCCCTCCAATCTCGTTTCACAGCGAAGCCCTCCAACGGGGCTCCTGAGAACAGCACTTCCTTCCTCTGTGCTACTTAACAATTAGCTCATTTGTTTAGATCTCAGCTCAACTTCTGCAGACACTCTCTCTGACTCTCCAGACCTGGTCAGGCCCTCCCTGTCGCGCGCTCTGGCACGCCTCTCCTCCACACAGCGGATCACAGAGCTGCGGCTTTGTACTTAGACACACGAGCGCCGGAGCGCGGTCTCCCCACTGGGCTGTGCACGGGCCCCCCGAGGGCAGGGTGGCGCGCCGTGCCCTCGCAGCCCAGCCCAGCCCAGGGA